CTGGGGGGGGGGCGGGCCGGGGTGCTCAAGCACATTCCCTGGCAGACCCAGAAGTGGACCAAAATGTGCTTCCAGTTCACTTCTGGATTCATTGCCAAGCATGCAGGGGGCCCTCCCATGCTACTGTGGGATGCTCCATCTGCTCCAGTATCACAGTGTTCATGAGCTGCACCTGGTACCTTGAGGTATGTAGAAAAAACATTTACAGCTGTGTTTATAGCCGAATCGCTGATTCTCTGAATCAATACTGAATCTTCAAAATTTGGATTCAGCCAAATCAAATTGGGGACAGTGATCTGAATCAATGAATCGAATCACTGTCCCCAGTTTGGGCTGAATCCTAATCTGAATTGAATACGGCCCATTTCACACACCCCTAGCTCTCAGTACAAATCAGGCCTTGGAAAAAAGTAAACTCCCCCCTGTGAGGAGGCAGCCCCTTTTGTAATGAGGAGCTGCCACAGCAGAACAGCACAGCTAATCAGGCATCCTGTGACAGGATACCTGAGGCAGCACAAGTCCTGCACAGTCCAGTACTACTGAGGAGAGAGGTGGGGATTTTCCCCAGTTGTGCTAGCTGATCAGTTTGATGCCCCGAATCATAAAGGCTGAACGCCCTGGCTGTTTCTAATGAGAAGTCAGTCCAGATACCCTTTTGTTGACCCCAGAAAGTCCACTTCTTGTTCGGAACCTATTTGCTTTTCACATCTCCCAGCGATGAGTTTCCAGATCACTTGCACATTAAATTAAGCGGCACTTCCCCCACCAGCATGGTGATGTAGGCTCCCATGGGCCTCACCTCTGCGGGAGAGACGGGTGTCTGCATCCGTGTCCACAAACAGCTTCATCCGGAAGAGATCCCGGACCTCTTGGCAGTAGAAGGCCAGGATGCCCTCAAAGAGAACCACGTCAGCCGGGTACACGGTCACCGTCTCCTCCTTCCTGTTGTACAGGAGAGCCCCCAGTCAGAATAACATGTGGACAGGAAAAGCTGTGCTGATGGAGGATACAGAATGCAAAGACTTCTAGGCTCTGTTCCCCACCAGTAGAAACCCTGGGAGAAACATAACTTCCCTGCCCCCCATCTTGACTAGGCAGGCTTTATCCCAGTATGGCAAGGCTTTTCTCAAGGAATTCTAAGAGAACATACTCTTTCCTAGAACATGGTGAAAGCAGGTAGCAAGAGACCTTCCCCTACCTGCTATCACCACACACACCCAGGCAGCTGTTGCTTTCAACTGCCATAAAGCTAATCCAGGAGGCCTATGAAGTATGTAACCTAGGATCCACCCATTCAGCATTTTACAAAGTTTGCCCTGCTCTGGAGAAGGCAGGGATCCTCCTTGGACCAGCCCCATTCACAGTACAGCCTTTTTATGATATGATCACTGGGCCTCTCACAGGACTGTCAGAAACTGAGGTCCTGTAAGGAACTGGCTAGTGATCATCTGTCTCACCACCATATATCACACACACAGAGGCAGGGTTGAAGATGAATGGGCAACATATATGCTGGAACTTCTTAGCTTTGGAGTGTCTGACTTTGCCAACTGAGCAAGATTTTCTAAAACCTTGCTGTTTTTGGGTAATAAAGCCTATGCCAGAGCTGGTAAAATAAAACTGCTTTTTGTAGAAATACAGCCTCTTCTGAAGACAGCCAAGTTTGGGATATTGTGGGGGATGAGAGTGGTAAATGCAGATCAGGACTGGCATGGCTGTATCCCACGCTCCAGATCTCAAGCCTCACTATCAGCATGGTGTTTCAAGTTCAGCCACCTGACCTGGAATGGGAGACAAAGTCATAGACAGGAATCTGGACAGTCTTCCCCTGTGTGATCTCCTTCAGTGTTTTGATGATCAGCTCGTTGTCAAAGGCATCTGGGGGTTTTGGGGGGGGGGTGGGAAAGAGAGAGAGAGAGACAGATAGACACAGAGAGAAAATGGGGAGATGTTAGAAGCAGCTTCCCAAACCATATCCCCAATTAGCACTGTGCTTCTGTTTAGACAAAGCCCCTGGAAAGTCAGGTCAGAAAGCCCACCTCTGTGCAGTCATACTACCCAAAGGAAGTATAAACCAGATCTGTCTAGTGGTGTAAACAGAACTCTGTTGGAGTCAATGCAACTACGTTGTTTTACACCAGCTGCAGATCTAGCCCTAGAAGATCAATATGATCCTTGTACTAGTTGTTTTGAAAGCTAAGACTAAAAAAATTGAGTCTCCTCCCAACACCCAGCCCCTAGACTGGAGCTGTCTTTTATTCCTGGTTCTCCCTCCCTCAGCCTCACAGAAAGGGCTCTGTTTGCAAGGCAGCCTGCTGCCTCAGGCTATTGTTCTTTTGGGTGAAGCGGTTCTGGAATTTCCCCACCAGCCCATTAGGCTGTTCAAAGAGTCCCTACTGTAAGAACAGGGCATGGGCTCTCTTTGTGTTAGTCAGAGTTTGGTCTGTAGAGAGAAGCTGCAACTCCTAGTGCATGATATGGTACCTTCCTAGAAAAGAATTAAGCACTAGGTTGAGCTGCCCCAACTCCCTGCAACATTGTAGTGATGCTTACTAAGCCCTCTGTCCTTTCCATGTGCAGTCACCTACTTACATGTAGCAGTGCAGTGGAGGGGGCAGGTCTTTAAAAGAAAGAGGAGGTCTTAAAACCAGTCTCCTTCAATGAACCTTTTTTTTCTGTTCTACAGCTGTGCACTTTGCCGAGCACCTGGATCCAGAGATGGCTCCTTTTGTGGGAAGCTGTCTGCACAGCGTGCAGGGCAATCTGGGACCTTTCAAAATGAAGCATTCTATTGAAATGTAAATATTATAGGATACGGGCAGCCAGAAAATTGGAACAAGATAATACAGGGACCAACCCCAAATATTTGGGCTTTGTGGTTGCATGCTAGAGCCCTGCATGACTGCATCATTCAGCCCAGGTCACACGTTCCTGGCATTACCAACAGGTTCTCTGCTGGTGAAATTTGAGGAGTGGTTCTGCTTAGCAGAGTGATCATTCCAGATCCACCAGTCCCAGCACTGCCTCCCAATGCAGATTCTTAGGGTCAGTTTCCATTCACCTGGGTGGTCAAAGTTGAACTGGCCCTTGAGTGCTTTAGCCTTCTGCTCCGAGGTGAGGACCCGATAGAAGCTGTCTTGGCTCAATATCACCACTTGCTTCTGGCGATGGTCCACCTCGTTCTGGCCCAGCAGTTGGACGATCCTGGAGCAGACTGATGACTAAGAGAGAAGCGGCAAGAGGAAGGAAGTCAGGAGAGCGTTCCCTTCCCTTTGCCCCAGGCCTGTTCTTCTAGCCAGGTCAGAACTTCCTTACTACTGAGGGTTTACACCACTCCGCTGGCCCATCTCACCCTCCATCTCTGGCAAGTAGCTCTAAGAGCTGCCCCTGGCTACTCCTCAGTCTTCCCCCTACCTAAGCAGTAGCATAAGACAACACAACTTTTAGTCACTTTTGCCACTATCCTTTAGCGGAAGCAACTGACTAGGCTCTAGATCTGCCTCCTTTTGATGCAGCTTTGAAGCCTGTAAGCAGCAGCAGAGTTTTGCAGTTGCACTCAGACTATCTTCTAATGTCTGCTTGTACCCCACAAACCAGATCCTCTCTTCACTCATGGAGATAACACCACTGGCTTAAGCTACTGCAACAAGGACTGACAAAAGCAGCAATCTGGCTCTCCTTGGAAAAGGTGGAGGGGGAAGTCTGTGGGGAAGAGGTAATTTGATATCCTGATTGATTAAAGTCTGATACAAAGCAACTGAATCTGCCATAAATGGGGCTTCATTAGCCAGACAGCACTAAGCCTCTCAGAGAGCTCAGCCATAGCACAGACCTGGGGAGGCATATCCTGGTGCCTGTTGACACAGATAAACTAAGGAGCTGTTGAATGAGCAACCTGGTTTCTGCTGACAAAGGCTAGGTGGCTCTGGCTGATGCTGCACGACATTCTGCAAAGTTAGTTTTGCAGAGGCAGCCAGCCCCTTTGACTGGCCTAAGCACAAAGCCATGCAACAAGTTGCAGCAAGAGAAGTTTAGGTTAGATATTAGGAAGAACTCTCATAGAAGGAGGGTAGTAAAGCACAGACCAGGTTACCCAGAGAGGTTGTGAAATTTCCATTCTTGGAGGTTTTTAAGACCGGGCTAGAAAAAGACTTGGCTGGGATTATCTAATTGGAGCTGGGTCTGCTTTGAGCAGGGGACTGAACTAGATCAGCATTTCTCAATCCACCCAAAAGTGGGTTGCAAGAATACATGAAAGGGTCACAGAAATTTAAAAAATGGATCAACAAATTTAAAAAAGTGGATTCTCCTTTAAAGGAGAGAAACATGGAAAACCATGGTTTCTCTCTTGCAAGCTGGCAGAGTTCCAGCTGCAGGAGGGTGTTTGCCTCCCTCTTCCCACCCCACACACTAGGAGGCTGGGGCCTGGGGGTGGGAAACAGCAGGTCAGGAGTGAGAGGCATTGGGTTGGGACTGGCTATTGATGTTTACAAGTGGGTCCTGGTACAAAAAAGGTTGAGAACCACTGGACTAGATGACCTCCTGAGGTCCCTTCCACCCCTAATTTTCATAGACATTAGGGGCTGGAAGGGACCTTGTGAGATCATGAGCCAGAGGCAGGAAGTTTGCAGGGATCAAAGGATCCCAGGAAGATAAACATCCAAATGCCTTTTGAATGAGTTAAGAGTAGGTGCTTGCACCACTGGGGGGGGG